AAACACTCAGAATACTACAGAGAAGAGCACAATGGAAATGCCTTGGAAGATTAGATTAGATAGATGTGATACCCAGCTGTCACTGGGATTAATAGAGTTTTTAAGATTGGGATGGTTAGAGGAATCTGAACTGGGACCATGGCATGCATTCTTGCTGAGCAATTATTCAAGCAGCGATTGAGAGCTTTGCCAAAGTTTTCGACCTGTGACTCCCATCTCTTGACTTCCCACTGCTCATCCTTTGACAATCATAGTAACAAAAGCTTAAGGAGATCTTAGGACTGGAGCAGCACTCATGCTGAAAGGCTGGAGCAGCACTCATTAGACTTTCTGGGTAGGAGTATGGCAAATTTTCTTGTGGGACTTTGAGGCTGTAAAGATAGAGGGAACTAAGAAATGAGAGAAAACAGTTTTATCTGTAATGTGCTATTGCCTATTTGTCCTCATTCTATATCTTATCCAAGCACAGGTGTGGAGGGGTATGTTGTGGGAAAGTAAGCTGTTGTGATACTTCCAGTTGATTCTAAACTGTTTTGAGACAGTTCTTAGATTATGTCCCCAGGTCACCTCCAGAGCACCCCAGGGTTCTCCTTTGAGATTTATGACACCTCCAGGACATCTCTGATTGTTGGTTGCCAAAGTATAGGGATTGGGAGACCAGCTGGAGACTGTCCAGCATCCTGTCCAGCCCTGGCTTCTCCTGCTGGATGCTGCCTGCTTTAGCCTGATGCTGACATTCAAGACAGAGTATAGCAGAGCATGAACCTAGACATGGAAAGCCATGCCAGAGCCTGTAGTATGGATGTAGGCTCCATTCTTAAGTCCCTAGGAGTAAATCTATCAAGGTCTTGGAATATTTCCAGGCATGGGAATGCTTGGGCTACCAAATTGCTCAAAGGTTGCCCAGCACAGCTAACAACTCCCAAACAAATCCCAAGCACTGTTTGGTTGTCAGCACAGCCAGGAGTCATTCAAAGTATGCAGACTGTGTTCAGCCACCTGGTTTTGGAGGGAAAGGCTATTTAATGCTATGAACATAAGCCACTCTGTGGTAGCTGAGACCAGTGCTAGAGAATGAATTAAGCACATTAAATTCAGCAGAGTTCATTTCATTAGCTCTAGTACACCAAGGAACAACAACAAAAAAACAACAACAACAAAGGTTTTGTTGAGCACTTGATCTGGGCTTGTTTTGGGAGAAGCTTGCTTTCTTCTCTGATTAATTAAACTTGTTTTGACTCCTTCTCTGTGGCTGAATTTCTGCTGAGTCACTTTAGGTATTTCAAATCCACCCTGTCCAATCTACCTGCTTTTTAAAAATCCTTTTCTTCTGAAACCTGCCTGTGTTTTGGATCTCTTGGCTTTCATGACAATATATTCACACTGTCTCATTTATTTCCTCCCAGTTTTCACCTGCCATATCACCTGACTTCACTCTTTCTCACTCTTCCCCATCCTTAATTCCAGCTGTACCTAGAGATTGATCCATATGTATATTTGTTTTCATTGCCTCTTTCACTCTTAGTTTTTCCTAATTTCTTGTAATGTTTTCTTAGGATTACTGCATTGTTTCCTGTAGTATTTTCCCTGTCACTCCTTTCATAATGCCACCTTTTCACCTTGACCCATCATTCCTTTCTATACTAATGTTTTTCGTTTGTTATTACAATTCTTTATTACTAGAAAAGTTTACAGAAACATTCCTCATACTTTCCTTTCATAATAACAATATTCCTTTACCTTATTATTGTTTTTTATGCCTTAACCAGGTCTGGCTATAAACAGCAGTACAAAAAAGAACATTATGGAGATGATGGTACAGAAAAGTCCAAACCCTGGACATTAGACTCTCTAAATTTCCTTTGATTTCAATGGGACAGCGTATGGATGAACCTTTAGGTCTATACACAGTCCAAACATTGCTCCAGGAAGAATTTGGAGTCCAGGAAGGATAATTTACAGGAGAGGACCTTAGGTCACAAATTTTTCAAGCTGTAAACATGAAGCTTAATGTAAAAGTATGAAATCTTAAATAACTTCCAATTATAGCAAAATTGGGGCACATAAGGGCATATCCTATTGTAGCATCAATAGGCTGCTTTATGTCAGGAATATTTGACAATATTTCTTTTTTCCTCTCAGTATGAAATATGTTTGAAAGCAATAATTGTTTCCTAAAATTTGGGACTACTTACATAACAATAGTTTCTAGAGAAAGTTGTTTGGTATGAGAAATAAAGCAAACCTGTCAAGTTTCCTTGGTCAGTAGGGGCCAAATTACTCTTGTTCATTTCATCCACAAAAGCTGGCTTATATGAAGTCTTCTGGCACTGGAAGATTTATATTCTCTTTAATTTATTCAGAATAAATACTGTCCAAGCAGGATGAAGCCCGCACAGCATGAACAAAGAACACGTTATATTTAAGAGGGTCATGTCTACTTTGAACATATGGCAATGATTCCTGAAGTCAGAAATAAAATGTAATACTTGTAAGATGGCATGTAATACTTTCTGTACTCCACCAAATTACCAGGGAGACAGATTGTGCTTTTCTGAGTATACTGACAAATGTCCTCCTCATTATGGTTTTGCCCTTTTTATATTACCTTATCATTATTCTTTTTCTTTTGTACTCCAGTGTGCAATTTAGATGATTACATTCTTTGGCAATATTAAATATTTTCAGGATTGCTTAGAAAATGATCAGATATTTATTATTCTTCTGTTAATATGAATTCATCAGTAAAAATATGTACCTCAAGGGGAGCCACCCATTGCATTTAGCCAAACCAACCAAGCATTCCAAAGGTAATAAAACAGCATTTATAACCAGGAATAAACTGTGACATTTCTTTCTAATGAGATTTCCAAGATGAGTCTTGTTGGCAGCCATTTTACATTTGTGATGCTAATAATGAGTGGGAACCTGATGTTAATAATTAGTAGCTGTTTTCTTTTATAATCTTTTTCTAATAATTTTAGCACAGAAGCACACTTCCCTTGGGTTTCTCATTGTTTTGAGCAGGGCATTTGTGTTGCAGTAGCATAGATGCAGCCCTAGCCTAGCATGGTAGCTGAACAAACAAACAGCCTCCTTGAGCTTGTGCCTGAAAAAAAGAAAATGAGAAGGCCCACATAATACCACCTGCGTATTTATTTTCATGAAGGAACAGAAAACTGTTCTTTTGAGATGGCAGCTCCCCACACACCTCCAACAGGGTGGCTAATGCGCCTGAAAAGCCCTCTGCAAATGCAGGGATGTATTCATTGTCCCTCTGCCACTGGCTCGCACCTTCCTCATAGCAGCATCGCTCTTTCCCATCACTGTGAAGCTTCAGATGGGAGAAACCATGAGATGCAGAAAGACAAGAGCCTATCACATTGCCAGGGATTCTTATTTTCAGCAACAAAAGGAACTAGACACTTGATTCCTTATTGAAGGGAATGGGAAACAGATACAATTTGGGCTGATACAATACAATACAGTATGATCAGAGAAACAGATACAATATGATCATAGAAAAGATAATTCCCACCATCCTGGGAGAGGTTGGGAGAAATTCTTTGGCAGGCATCAATGCAGGAGAACATGTCAGATGGTTGGGGTGGTCCCTTCTGATTGTCAAAACCTATTAAACCTTTGAATGTCCCCCAAAACCTGGGGAAGGAGGAGGTCTCAGCAGGCAATTGCTTGAGTCCACTGTTTGAGAGAGGCAGTGGGACTCAAACTGTGTATGGCGTGGTTTCTTTTTTTATTTTAAATGAAGAAACCTAATTAAAATGATAGGAATTTCCTGAGGAAATTCTCAGCCTGTTCATTTTTTAAGAGCCTTTGTATTACAAAAGGTGTTTGAAGTCCTTGAATTTTTACCCATTAGCCACCTTTAATCTAATTTCTAATCTCTTAATAGCCTTAATTGAGTTCTGAATACTTTAAATTATTAAACATCTTTGGGGGATTATGATTTCTATTTTTGATTATACAAAACAATATCAATTGCACAACACCCCCCACCCCCATTTATGTCAAAATAAACTATGGGGGATGTAAGGCATATACTTTAAGGGCAGCATATTTGCATTTGAAACACTGTTTTAAAAGACTTGTGCTTTCAAGCAGGTTGAAAATAAATGGTGAGAAATGAGGGAACAGCAAGATCCCAATGTAGGCCCAAAGTTGATGGAGGGTTATTGCCTTTCTGGCCTCTTTGTTGTATGGGTAGAGGCTGCCCATGGACAGGAAGCGAGTAGTGGCCAGCTGCCAGTGGGGTGGTGGGCCATGCAGCCCCCACAAGGTACAGGCCTGCTCCTCTCACGTGGGAGGGAGCTCCTTCCCATCCCACCCCCAGACCTTCACATCTCCCCACTGCTCCACTACCAGGGACAACTGGTCAGATTTAGACCCCAGTCTAAATTAGCTTGGGTCTCTGACTCCATCTAAGCCCCCTTGCTCCTTTAAACTTTCCTAATCTGACCAGTCTCTACTCTCCCCAGAGGCTTACTACCTTACTATACCTCTGATCATGAACCTTCCTCTTCTTCCTTTGCTTGCCATGACCCCCTAGCACCAAGACAATTTATCTCCCTCCCACTCCACATTATTCCCCCTTCCCCTTGGAAGATGCTACCCCTGGCAGGGACAGCAATCCTTGTACTGATGAGGTATCAGCTCAGACACCACTCCGGAGGCAAAAAGGCTCTGGGGAACAGAGGACAGATGGCAGCCCTATCAGACAAGGGACGAATGAGTGTCTTAACTCAAGGAGAGTAGCAACCTGTTTTACATGTTGCCATAAGCTGTGGAATAAAATACTCTCTAGTAATGCAGATATGGCATCCAAAGCAGATATTTGTATTGTGAGCTAATACCAATGGAAAAGCTCAATTCTTATCAAATAGAGCCTCCTTCATAAAAATCAGAATTTATTTGCTATCAAAAGACAAGCGAGTTTTATTAACTTGAAGAAAGTATTAGCTTTTTTTTTTTACTTTGTTTGCTTGTTGATTCTTTTTTTTACTCCAATAGTTTTTATTAGATCTCAGTTTTAGTTCCTGTTAATTTGCCTCCACTTGTTTTCATCTCCCTGCCATCCAAAGAATTGGTTTTAATATCCAGCACCAGAAACAACATCTTTGGAGAGCTAAATTCCTTTTCCTAACTTCAGGGCAAGATTTCAAGTTGTCATTTCTAAGCATTTTGAATGTTTTCTGGAGATCCTTGCAAAAAGTCCATGACGTTTCTGGGGAACCCATAGTCGTGCTTGTAATTCATCACTGGTACTTACTGTAGAGTCTGGCTTCATATACATAAAGCAAATTCAACCATTTGACCTCCCAGTGTTAGAACCTGGATATAACTGCCACTTTTATTCAGGATAAGCAGTGTTCTGCTTCAGAAGTTGTCCTATTGATTAAATAGATACAAAAATGAGACTTGAATGATTTACTAGGCTTATTTTCAATCTGTATTGCTGTAGCAACTACTACTGTCAGTTGAACTCTAGGGAGGGGGTTTTTTTTTGACAATGTACCATGACAGAAAAGCAGTATCTTTTGTGAGCATGCAGTCTGAGGTGCTGATCTGGTGAGTGTGTATTCTCAAACTTATTTGCTGGAGCAGTCTATCCGTATCCAGGGATGCTCAGAGAATGGATATTTAAGCAGATATATGGTCTATACTGCTGGGTTCAGGCTTGTCCTTCAGTTGCAAACTCATTCTTGTTCTTCTTATTTTCCTTTCAATTTTGAATTTTACCATGCACTTACTTTTACATTTACTATCTAATAAATTGAGACCTTCCAAACAACAACTTGTATATTTAGCTATATTATTAAACACAGTAATTTTTAATGTGCCATAGGGATCAGAGTCATTCTAAAAGATGAGTTAATACATAATTCTGTAGTTCAGAGTCTCTGCAGAAGCCTATCCCATACGCTTTACATAAAAGGCCTGACTCATACAAGTGTGACAGCAAATAAAGGCCACTAAACTAAAAGATGAAAACAGCCAAAAGACTTTGGTTAAGGCATTTTGGTTGAGACACTGAACAGTTTAAGAAGGTCAGCATAAAAAGTCATTCAGCTCTCCTTTTGACTTCTTACCCTAGAAAAAGAGAACAATAATAAAATCAGGCAGCAATAAATTTAGAGCAAATTAAAAAAAATACTTTTATGTAGCACATGTCCTGACTATAGAATTCATTGCTGTAATAGGTCAAGTTAAATACTTTGGCTGGATAACATTATCATCACTCTTTAGGAGCCAAGTCCTCTCTAACATAGCCAAGCCAATGTTATTCAGTGAGATTGAAACAAGATCTGCGTAAAAGAGTGGGATTTATCCCAGTACTTATGAGATGGTTATGCTCTATGAGAACAATAAAGGTAATTAGATCCCCTTCTCAGCACTTCATCTGTTTACTGAAGAGGAGGAGTAAACTCCCTTTTACCATTCCATAATTTGATAAAACCACTATAAAGGGGCTTTAACAGTAATAGATACTAACCATGGGGACAGTACTGGGTCACTGGGTCATGCTTTACTGAAAAACTTGTTTCAGCTACAAATTACCTTGACAAGCCATAGCTGTATGCATAATTATGAACTATAGGACTTCATACACTTGTACTGAAAACTTACTTTCTCTGTCCTCACCTGTGAAAGCACTTTTCAGCACAATGAAAATTACATAATGGTGCTATAAATTATATGCCAGACTTTAGTATGATTTTGGGTATTTACGCTTCTAAACCTTTCAAACTACTGGTTTCTAATTAAAAATGTGACATGCTTTTTCAACAACAATGACCCAGTATGTAAGGATTCTGCATACCTTTAAAACCTTTCACAAGGAAAAAAGTCAGCTTTAATTTGCAAGTGAGGTTTATTGTTTCAGTGGCTTTAGGTAACCTAACTTCTTTAGAAGCAGATGGCCTTCTGAGTGTGTTGGCAGGAATGTGACACAGGGGACATGAGTCTAGAGCCAGACTCAAGCAAAATTACAGTGTGTAAGGCCCAGCTTTCAGTAAAAGGAAGATTCTTCTCCAAGATAAGTACATCCTTTAAAGTGAGGGTCAAGTCTACCTGGGTCTCCAGGGACAGATGTTACCAACCCTATGTGTGCCTTACTGCCCCTCATCACTACTACTTCAGCCTTGCACATCGAAGTGGAAGAGCTTCTCTCACTGCCCATACCGTGCAAAGGAACTGATTCCTTTGCTGTTACCACTTCAGGGGTGAGGGAATCCTCTTTTTTCCTCACATACAGATATTAAATGCCAGTGTCAGCAGCTGGCATTCAGCAGTCAGCACCATCAGAGGGAATATCTTGATGGTCGTTGCCTCAGCCTTGGCAGGAGGAACAGCGTGAATGCAAATGTAGGCAATGCTGTTCACTGGCCAAGCAACTAGCAGGAAAACACCCTTTAGTACTATTTATCCACTGCATGGAGTTCCAGGGGGAAGATGCCACCTCCTGAGAGCAGAGGCTCCTAGGCAGGGTGCCTGAAAAGAGTGCCATGGCCATCCTAGGAGGAATCTTTCTGTGCTTTGAGAGGGGCTCCTACAAAAAGACACTGTAGTACAGGGTCTGTGGCAATTGCCTTCTTGGGTTAGCCTCCAGGATGCAGCAGCCTAGGCAGCCAGAAGGAGAAGATGAACAGCTCCAGCTGCAAGGATGGTGGATTTTCACACCTGCAGCCACCATACCTTGGTGGTGCAACCCACGGGGCAGGCAGGGCAGAGGAGCACCTGCTCTCTCCGTGCTGAGGTTGCCTAAGTCCTACCCCCATTCTGCTGGTTGACTTCGCTCCAGTTTGCCCCATTATCGCACCCTCGGCGTGAGCGGGCAAAACAAGGGGCAATTTCTCTCAAGGTGCAGCTCGTCTCCTCTCCCTCCCCGCAGATCCCGGCTGCCACCCTGCACGGCTCCCTCGGGGAGCCCGGCGACACCGTCCGTCATCGCCGCTTAACAGCCGAGCTTGTCTCCAAAAAAAAAAAAAATTACTTTCACTGCCCACGCAGAGATGCTTTTTTCCAGGGAAAATAAAATCCAACAAGTCCACACCCCAATCTTCAGCTCGGTGCCGCTAGCTGCCTCCCCCGCAGGCGCCCCCGCTGCCCTGGCCCGCGGGGAGCAGGTGCTCGGCGCTGCCGCCGCCCCAGACCCCCCTCCCGCCGGCCGCGGCACCTTGCGAGTCATCCCTGCTCCCCCCCGCTCCCCCGCTCCGGGCGGCCGTCGGGTGTCGCTTCCCATTTCACTTGGAGATATTTTCGGGTGGCAGGAGCCGCCTCGTCATTTCCGCCAGGAGAAAAAGACACCGGCGCGGCAGCCGCGGAGAAGCCGCGGGAGCCGCCGGGCACCGGAGCGGGCAGCTCGGAGCCAGCGCCCGGCTCGCCGCTCCGCCGCCCGAGGACCGACCTCTCGGCGGGGCCAGCAGCCGCCGCCGCTGCCCGCGGGTCCGCGGGGGCGGGAGGCGTCGGAGCGTGCCGCCCTCTCCTCCCCCTTCCTCCTCCTCCTCCTCCTCCTCCTCCTCCCCGCCGAGCCGGCAACATGAACTGAAATCCCCAGAGAGGCACAGAGGCGGCGAGCGAGCGAGCGGAGCGGAGGCAACCGGGGATATAGCGGCTCTCTCCTCCCGCCGCCGGGGTCCCCGGGCAGCGCGGTCCCTCCGCCCTGCACAAGCCTCGCCCCGAGCCCGGAGAGCGGCGGCCGTCCGAGCCCCGCGCCCCCGAGCCGCCCATGGCCCTCATCATGGAGCCCGTCAGTAAGTGGTCGCCGAGCCAGGTCGTCGACTGGATGAAAGGTGAGGAGCGGCGCTGGGGCCGCGCGGTGCCCTCTCCCATCACCCCCCTCCAACCCCCGCCCCGCAGGTGCGGGGAGCTCCGCGGCTTCCCCCGCGCCGGGATCCCGCCTCCCAGCATCGCCGGCTCCCCCCACGCTTTGGCTGGTTTTGGGAAGGGAGGCGGGAGGTGGCCGGGGCAAGGGGGCCTGGGGCCGGACTCCCCCCCCTCCCCGTGGGGCGACCTTGGGCGGCCCATAAAGCCGGGGAGAGGGCCGGGGGTGAGGTTGTGCCCGGGGGAGCCCGGGGTGCTCCCGGGCGGCAACCCCGGTGTGGCGATGGAGCCGCCCCCGCAGCGGCGAGGGACGCGAGGAGCGTGTCCGGCTGCTCCCGCCGGGTGCGGCGCGAAATGACTCGCCAATGAAAGTTCAGCCGAACGTGTGGCGCTCGCCAGTGCGGGGGGACGGGGCGGGGGGGGGGGGGGAACACACGGGAGGGACACGGTTGCAGGCTCTCCCCGCGATGGGGGAGGGCGGGGGGCCGGAAGGGTCGGTCCGCGCCCTCGAGGATGCAGGGGCTCCCGCGCCCTCCGCCCCCGCTGCCGGGGAACCGCCGTGCCGGGAGAAGGGCGCCCAGACCTCCCTTCGGCCGGGGCGGGGGCACTGCGCGTCGGGGGGTCTCCATCCCTGTTCCCATCCCGGGGCGACATTTCGAGATCCGTGATTGACGGGAGCACGGAAGAGTCCGCTGGGCTGAGCATGACTGTACCGCCGCTCCGCTTCTCTCGCTCTCACCTGTCCTCCCCCCAAATAAACTCTGATGAGAATAAAATTTGGACTTTCTGGAAATGCTGTTCTTTTATTCTGTATGCACCGACATGGCTTTAACGCCGTAATTTAAAACGTTTGTTGTTTTTTGTTTGTTTGTTTGTTTTGTTTTGTTTTTTGTTTGTTTGTTTGTTTGCTTTTCTTGGGTGGGTTTTATTGTTTGGTTTTTTGGGTTTTTTTTGGGGGGGGTGTTTTTTTTTTTTTTTTTTTTTTTTTTTTTTTTTTTTTTTTTTTTTTTTTTTTTTTTTTTTTTTTGGGTGTTTTTTTTTTTTTTTTTTTTTTCTTTCCATTTTTATTACCTTTAAGTTAGGCTGCAGCTGTGTTTTGAATAAATCACCATCTAGTATTATATATCTTCTTATAAAGATAGAATGACCGGATGGGTACAACTTTTGAACAACTGCTACATTGTGGGAGTTCTTTATAACATGCTGCGTACTACTAATGTGACAGTTTCATCATCCTTAAAATTTCAGGCATATAGCATATGTTTTCAGTTATTCAATCCTGGCATTTATATCTGTTGTGTTACAATTGTATTCAACATACATAGTTTTGCTGTTCCTGAAGCATTCTCAAACCAAATAATAATAATAATAAAGAATGATGTGATGTTTCATATCCCAAGAAATTAGTAAATATTAATAAATACTTGAAGTAGCTATAGATGATCAGTGTTAAAAGCAAACCCTTTGCAACTTCAAAATGTTTTTTACAGCTGTTTAGCTTCCAACATTTTTATTTATGAAAAAGAAAAAAAAAGATTGTGTAGGACTTTTTCCTAATCAATGTCTGAGATACCTTCAGCATATTTTGGGAATGCATAAAAATAATGAATTTGCAGATAATGCATTTTTTAAACACTTCAAAAATGTAATACATCAAATACTTTTTATAAACGACAGGTGAAGTGCATTCCATACTCTGCTTTTGTATTACATCAATATAAAATCAGTAATTTTAAAAGAGAAGGCTGACTAAATGGTGTGTGGCTGGGTAAGGGCTTGTGATTAGAAAGCTGTGACTAACACTTAGAGCTGTAGATCTTTTAAAAATAATCATGTGAACTTTACCAAAAAAAGGCAGTTATTGTAGTCGTGCCTTCTTTCTGGGTTATGAAGGTTGCTTTTTAGTGTTCAACCTGTTTATTTTGGTGTGAGTGCTCGACTGTTTGTCTGGGGTACTTTCGTTTTTACTGGACGAACACATATATGTTTCTTCAAGCTTTCATTTCTTCATTTGGTATTCTGTGTAGATGAACCTTCATTTAGATTGTGCAAAGAGATAAATCACCTGCCTCTGACTAGCACTGTTGCATGAAAACCACTTAGATAGCCACTCTAGTTTCAGAAGTTGAGCCTGGAAATAAATATGACCAGCAACTGTGGGCAGGTCTGCTCCTGCCTGATGGATCACAAGTTGCTGAGTTTGGAGGAAGGATGGTAGTGAATAAGGGCAGGTGGTCCTTGCTGCAACAACTTTGTTTTCCTCACTTATCATTTGTAGCAAACATTGCTATTGAAATCTGCATGAAAAGATGTTTTTCTGCTACTTTAAATGCATTGTCTCCAGCAAATTACATTTCAGAAAGTCTCAAAAATAGTTTATTTGTGTTTTAAGAGGTACCCTAGACAGCTTGATGAGCAAAACATGAATGTGTCTCTGTCATGAGAACTTTGGAGGGACTGTAATAGTGATGTTTGCATTAGGGGCAGTCAGGTCTGCTTTGCATAAATTACATTAAACTTCAAGATGCAAGAATATTTTGCTGACTTACTGAGGTTATTAAACAGAATTATAAATGTTGAACTTGGTTTTAACCTCTTCCTTGAAGTAAGTGCCCTGCTATGCCTGCTTGGAGCAGCTCTGTAAAGAGCATTCTTCAAAACAGATTTCCATGTTCAAAGCAAAATCTTTCCTGAAAAAGGAAAATCCTACTGTTTAACATTGTTTACAGTTGTCTGAAAGTAAGGGGAAATGAAACACTTCAGATTTTATTGCTCTCAGTGTTTTTGTGATGGTCTTGTTGGTATGACCTGAACGTTTGCAATAAAAGGCCCCGTCTGGAATGCTTTATTTAGTCAAAAGAGCCATTACCTCAGTGGCATTTTGTTCAGGGTAGTGATAAAGCATTGGGCCTAATATTACAAGATGTGAGAAATGAAGACAGGCAAAATATTTCCACTCAGAAGGGTTAGATAAAAGTGCCAAGCTCTGGGCTGGATGACTGAATAAGGAACAGGCTGAAGACTATTGGTATTCATGCAATAAATGCAGTTTCTCCAGTATCTTCTCCATTTTTAATTCCTTGATATACACAGTTGGTCTGTGGATGCTTTTAATGGCCTAACTCCAATGCTGCTGAGATACAGAGCTGTACCTGGAATTGGTTATGCAAATGAGCGACTACCTAAATTTTGACCATGAATATGTGTATGATAAGGAGTTGAGGACCAAAGAACCAGTAAACTTTGCAAATGAAAAGGATAAAGTGAGTGGAGCCTATGTCAGCATATGAGTTTATGAACCCACAGACAGAAGATTAATTGTCACAGAGCTGGAAAAAGAGCAGATGGATTAGCTCATCTCTCCAGGATGGCATATTGTATGTGAAGGATAAAGTGAATATTTAAATTGATTCAAACCATGTATTATTTTCATACATTTAGTATTAATTCTAAAGGTCATGTGTGGATCAGTGAGCTGAAAGTGTGTCAGTCACCTCCTCTGCCTCCCCTTGGGAGGACATATGTGGATTCCACTGCCACGTTGCAAGACGTTGAGATGTTGCATAGGCAAGCTTTGTCAAACGTCATGGCTTTGACTGACTCAGGAATGGAACATGTCAGATGTGTTTTAGATTTCTGAGGCTCTGAGAAGACTCGAACACATGCAGTTACTTATCAAACATTAGGGTGTTTTTAACTGAGTCTTCTACTTTAACTTCTTTAGTCTGAGGTTATTTATAATGGCTGTATATTGAGAAGGACTCACTGCTTTTAACAATATTCTAGTTTTAATTCAGTACCAATCTCTCAATGGCAGAATCTGTTCCAACAGGCAAGACACCTGAAAAAAATCGATATTACTTTATCTAACAAAGCTTAAATATTTATTTTTTGTTTGCTGAATGACAGCTCATAGAGCTTATACTAAGCTCATACAGCTTAAACAGTTGTAATGGTAGTCATACTGAAGAAGCTGACATCTAAGGCGTGGAGCTGCTCTTAAAGGCTTCTAATACTAAGGAGTGGGGGCTTTTTACCTCTATAAAATCTACTCTGCCGACATTTAGAAGGATGTAAATATTTAGAGGGACTGGGGGAAGAGAAGGAGAAACATGAATGTGCTAGCAAAGCGAAAGCAGAGTGCAAAAGGTCCCCGTTTGGATGATTGAATATTGAATGGGTTGA